GACCTTCCCTGTTTGTTTTTGGATTCTGCCGATCAGACTGGTACTGTCTCTCTCTCGAGTCTGGAGAATTCTTCAGGAAGTTGAGAGAGGTCCCGTGTCCTTAGCGTGTGCTGACGACTAGCTGTACCTGTGGGAGGAAAGTACGCAGGCGCAAACAGAGGCAAATGCAAGCGTGCGTGCGTGCGTGTGTATATGTGTGTGTGTGTGTAAGTGGGTGTGGGCATGTGTCTCGAGGGACAGAGTGATGGCTAATGTTGAACCCTTGAGTGTGTGGGAGGGGCTCTGCAATGTATATGTCGCAGGCGCTAGTGATGATCGCAGCGCAATTTCTGGCATTAACTGCCTTAACTCCTCAATTAGACCCACAGAGCAGGAACTTCAATGTTCCAAGTGCCCCTCTGTTTCCCAAAGTGGGTATATGGGTGTGAGGGGGTTCAATGCCTGGCTTCTGTTTTAGAAGAACCCAGGATCAGTGGAGCTGCAGATTCTCAAGGGTGCACTCACTTACAGGCAGGACACTTGGCAGAGATTGGCGTATCTGGGCTCTCTGCTCTCTGGTTTGGCCCTGCTTCTTTGATGTGCTCCGCCAGTTCCGTGCTGCTGTCACTGCCAGGTTATGAGGTGTTGCTGCAGCTGGAGATTTCAGGGTGGTCACGTCAGTGGGAATCGGGGTAACCACCCTTTCTGTTCTCTGGTTTGACCCTGGTTAGTCTTAAACTGGAGGGCTGATGTGCCCCGCCAGCTCAGTGCTGCTCTGCCGCCAGGTTAGAAAGTCCCATTGTAACTGGAGACTGGGTTGCTAGTCCAGATGCTTTCTGGGAAGTCCTGGGGTCTCTTTACTGTGCTCTCCAAGCTTCGGAGGCCCAGCGCCTGGTGTGTCTAGCTTGTATGGCGTTTCTGTCTGGTTTTGGTGAGTATATAGTGTATTTCTCTGTCACTGTGGGATTGGGCGGGCCGTACCATCAGTGATGGCGCTCCTGCGGAGCTAGTATGGCGTCTAGCAGACTCGGGCCCTGGGAGGATGGTGCAGCCGCCGCGCGTGAATCTGGGGCTCCGAGACACAGTACTGCTGGCCTTTGCCGATAAAGGGCTTGGGGCTCCGCCTCAATGGCTGCAGGCTTCAGGCAGTTAGGTCTGTGCTGAGAAAGGCGAGTCCGCTGTGCCGAGGAGGAGGGAGGTCTGGGGGAGGGGAGTGCTGAGAGATCAAAGGATCGTTTCTCACCTTCCCCAAACAAGTCCCTGGGTGACCCGAGACCAAGGTTTTCACCTCCTGCGATGTTCCCTGTTGTTTAGAAAGTCTCTTCGTCGTTTCCCTTGCTTCAGAAGTTCTTCTACTCATCAACTCAGAACTTTATCTCTTCCACAGCTCGGAAACTGTGTGTGCTAGTCGCCATCTTGGCTCCGCCCCCCTCAGGTGTGCTTTTAAATTGCTTATATGAGAACTCTTCAATTACTTTATGAAGGCACTTAGTGCTAGGAACTTTTCCCTTAGCAGTGTTTTCACTGTGTTCCATAAATTTGGGTATTTTGAGTCTTCATTCACATTGAATTCTAGAAAGTCTTTAATTTCTTTCTTTATTTCTTCCCTGACCCAATAGTCATTGAGTAGATAGTTGATCAGTTTCCATGAATTTGTAAGCTTTCTGTAATTTCTGTTGTTGAGGTCAAGTTTTAGTCCATGGTGGTCTGATAAGAAATGAGGGATTATTTTAATCTTATTTTTCTGTTGAGGCTTGTTTTATTAATAAGCATTTGGTCAATTTTGGAGAAGTTTTCATATGGTGCTGAGAAGAAAGTATATTCTTTCGTGTTTGAGTGAAATGTTCTGTAGATATCTGTTCAGTCCATTTGATTCAAAACATCAGTTGTTTTCACTATTTCTCTGTTTACTTTCTGTTTTGGTGATATGTCCATTGGTGAGAGTGAGGTATAGAAGTCTCCTATTATTTATGTGTGGAATTCAAAGTGTGGTTTAAGTTTTAGTAATGTTGTTTTTACAAATGTGTGTGCCCTTGTATTTGGGGCATATATGTTCAGAATTTAGGTGGTATCTTTGTTGATCTTCCCTTTTATGAATATGGTGTGTCTTATCCAATCTTTTTTTTTTTTTTTTTTTTTGTCTTTGACAACTTTTGGTTGAAAATCTATTTTACTGGATATCAGTATCCAAGTGGGCTCCCTAGTAAGAGGAACAGGGACTGTCTCTGACATGAACTCAGTGGCTGGCTCCTTTACCTCCCCCTGCCCACCAAAGAAGGAGCAGCCTTGCTAGGCCACAGAGGAAGACATTGCAGCCAGTCCTGAAGATACCTGATAAGCTACGGTCAGATGGAAGGGGAAGAGGACTCCCTCATCAGTGAACTTGGAAAGGGGCAGGGAGGAGATGAGTGAGGCAGGGTAGGATTGCGAAGGAATGAGGGAGGAAGCTATGGCTGGGATACAAATAAATATCCTGTGATTAATATAAAAAATATAAAATAAAATAAAATAAAATAAAATGGTTACTCTAGCTTGCTTCTTTGGTTTTTTGGCTTGGAAAAACTTTTTTCAGCACTTTACTCTGAGGAAATATCTATTTTTATTTTTTATTTTTTAATTTTTTTGCTGAGCTATGTGTGTTGTATGCAGGAGAATGATTGATCCTGGTTTTACATTCACTCTGTTAGCCTTTGTCTTTTTATTTGATAATTGAGTCCATTGTTGTTAAGAGAAATCAATGACCAATTAGTGTTGAATCATGTAATTTTGTTGTTTGTGGTGGTAGTGTGTGTGTGACTGGTCCACCTTGAGTCTCACCCAATGGGAGAAAGACAGTCCCTGACACTATTAATACTCTGTTATGATTATAGACTAAGAGGCTTCATTCAGCAGAGGACCAAAGCAGATGCAGAGACCTGTAGCCAAACATTATGTGGAGCCAGAGAGTCTGTGGAAGATTTGGAGAAGGATAAAGGGACCAGGAAGGTACAAGAATTCCACAAGAAAAACAACAGAGAAAATTAACCAAGGACCATGAGAGCTCACATAGACTGGACCACCAAACAAAGAGCAAGCATAGAGTGAACTTAGGACCCCTACACATATGTAGGTGATAGGCAGCTCAGTCTTCATGAAGGTCCCCTTGCAATTAGAGCAGAGGCTATTTCTGAAATTGTCTCTGTTGCCTACTTTTGGATTACTTTCGTCTAGCTGGTCTGACTCACCAGACCAAAGTGGAAGAGAATGCACTTAATTCTGATATGACTTGATGTGCCAGAGGGGGGTGGGTGAGGGATGGTGGGAGAGCACTATTTCTGAGGTGAAGGGAAGGGGGAAAGGGGCAAGAAGTTTGGAGGGCGGTACCAGGAAGAAAGGAGGGAGTGGACTGCAATAGAGATGGAAAGTAAATAAAATTTTAATAAGATGAAATGAAAAGAAAATTACTGTTTCACTTTGTTAAAAGTGAATATTGTTGTTCATAGATCATCAGATAATTATGATTATAGTGAAGAAGCATCTTCAGAAAGCAAAAAATGTTACTTGTTTCCTATGGTGGTATGTGACTAAAGAAGTATGGTAATCCCTGAGCATTCAAGAAAATGCAGAATTTCTTTGAAAATAGGCATAGCTCACAACGATGCAAAAAAAAAAAAAAAAAAAAAAAAAGAGGGGAGCACAAAAGAGAGTGGAGTGGAGGAGTGGAATAAACACATTACCAAAACAGTGATGACTCTGACTTCATTGGAAGACTCCTGCAGTACCTCTCAATTAGTCCACATGATGTATGAAAGTATGCTGCAATAACAATGTAAGATTGTCTTTTCCAGTATGTATACCAGATTACTGATTTTTTCTCTTCTTCATCAACAATGTAATTGGACATTGTTGGACTAATCTTTGTTTCCATATATTGAAATAAACCTACTACTTCAACTGAAGAGAGATAGTCTCACATTTGCAAAAAGAGAAATTAAAATTTTTATTACTACATGGTAAACTGTAATAGAAGGTTACATCAAATAATAGCTGTCATATAGAATAACGATCAACTTTGGGAATATTTTTAAATATAAAAAAAGATTTATGATATAATACTATATTAACTGATAAACTAATATTTAAACTTTAGGACATCATGGTGTACTAATAATCTTGGATTGTAAGAGCCATAAAATATTTTAGGTGAATCCTAATAAATATGATGGGTAAAATAGAGAAATAAAAAGTTACTTTAGAAACTGCAAACTATACTGCTAAAACACAATGTATAAGAGTTGTAGTTGAGCACTACACTATTAGTGTTTAAAATATCTGTTTCAGAGTATAATGTAGTAAACCAAACCTAAAATAAATGATTGGCATATACATATACAAATGAGAGATACAAAATACTTTGAATTCTCTTTAGGCAAATGAAGAAGTCTATCTTTAAGCTACAGAACTTACAAATGTTTGATGTTGTTAGAAAAATTGTGTTGTAAATTTGTAGAAGAATAACACACCTTCCTGAGATGTGAGGTGAATGAATCTGAATACCTTCCAAATTAATTAAAAAGATAATTAAGGTAAGCACTAAAACTGATTTCAAATCAACTAAATCAATATTTCATAGGAAAAAAGTAGGAATACACAGAGAAAGAGAAAATATGTAAATATCAACTTCCAAATGGAAATAATAAAGAAAAATGAAGTTTTTAATGTTATAGGTAAAATGCACCACTCTCAGTATCAATCCTTATAAATATATAAATGGCAGATAGAATTAGACATATGTTTTACACTTTATATCATGCTAGTTAAATGAACTGAACAGCCTTCATATTATGTGCAATTTTAGAATATAATGTAATGTACAAACAATATTAATATCAGTAAAGAAACATTTCAACTTCTCAGTCCATTAGTAATAATGTTCTTGTGTTTTACTGTAATATATCCTCCTTTCCCTTTCTGTCATTTTAAACTATTCAGATTTTCTAAAAAGTGTTATAGCATTTCAATAAATTTAAAATGCTACCTACCCTTGTCGTTCCTTGTATATTCTATTAACTTTTTCCCACTGGAAATCCATCTGTGACACTGTTTCCTGTAGTTTCACCCTTTCTGCTGGGGTAGCACTTGGCAAGGCTGCTGTCTTCTTATTGTGAATAACATCAATCCGACCTGAGATTTGTTGCAAATTGTCTTTTATATTCTGAAATAATAAGAATACATATCATAAAAATAAATCGTCTTTCTCTAGAAAGTAAAAAAGGAAAAATAGTCCAAGCTTTATAATTCTAAATTATCAACCATATATATTAATATATATGTGTATATATATATTTAAGTCTTTATTTACAATAGTTGAATATGCCTAAATTAAATTATTGAGTCGTTGTCATCATTACAGTTTAAATGATCTCACCCTACTGCTTAAAATTGCCTTTATTTGGCCTGAGATCTTTGGTATTTTTACTTCCATGCCTGCAGATTCTCAATTTTCTGTCTATAACCTTCTTATTGAATTTCAATACTAGCACATTCTTGTGTTTTCACAGCTTTCCTTCTATGCCCAAGTGACTTTCCATAATATCCTGTATGATACTGTTATTCAAACTTAGATTTTTATCCAAGGAATCTTCTCTGAAAGCTAGACAAAACAACAACAACAACAACAACAAAATAAAGCTACCTTAATTTATTGTCAGTAGGCTACCTCAATAGCATCTCTACCTTGAAAGTTCAACTTTAATTCCAGGTTATCTGATGCTGATATCTGGCCTCTGCTGGCTCCTGAATGTATATGGTTCACATAATGTCATTCAAGCAAACAATGTATATATAAATTAATAACAACATAATTTAATGTAAACTTAAAAGGTTATCCAGTTGTCCTGGCTGATCACTTAGTCAAGAGATTACCCTTCATGAAGACAGAATCACCTTAAGCTACGCTAAAGACATAAAAAGGATACATATTTTTAATTAATTTTTTATTTTTGTATATTAATTATAGTTTATTGATTTTGTGTCCAAGCTGTAGCCTCCTCTCATTCCCTCCCCATCCTATCCTCCCTCCCTCATCTCTGCCCATGTCCCTCTCAACCAGATAATTTTTTCATAGAATCCCTGATGCTTAACACAGCCACTCCAGACCTACTATAGGGTTTTGCTGGGTCTGACTACTCTTCGGAGTCCTGACTCAGAAAGACCTAAATGTTCCTTTTTTAAAATATCTTCTTTTCCTTTGGATGTTGTTCATAGGCAAAGCATACTTACTCTAGAGCTTTGGCCATTTTCACTTTCTCTAATGTTTCCAATAAGTTTGTAAAAGGAATGATGAGCCACTTTGTCATGAGCAATGCGGAATGTAGGGTAGTCATAGTTAAATAGCAGACATCGGAAAGATATTACAGCCTATATGTAACATAAGCATTCAGAAGTATGTGATTTTATAAAACTTAAGACCTGTGGGAAAATAAGTTGGGGTAGAGGGGTTTGAGAGATATAATAATGGATTTGAATCTCAAACTGAAAATTCTGCATTTACTTAAATAGCTAGTAGCGAAAGATAATTTTGTAAATCATGAATTATAAAAGTTATTCTGTAGAACTTGGTGAGAATATAGATCATGTTAATTGTAATCAAATGCTTGAAAAAAAACTTCTAAATTTAAGAAGAAAGTAAATTTTACTCAGAGTATTGTATATCTACTCAAAATGGATAGACTATGATAATTATGTGTGATATGAATTAATTCCAAGTTTAGTAGGTTTTCATAGGGAATTATAAATTATTTTCTTCAAATCATTGTGTACCTTATGATGGGAAGCTTATTTATTTCTTCAACACTTCAATTGACCTCTGAGATAAAAAGACATATCTGCCCTATTAGGTACTGACATATGAGCGAAAAAAGGGTTTGATAACACAGAAATAGGCTGTGAATGTACTCATCTTAAAAAAATTCACACTAAAACTCCCTTCCACCAGTTTTACTTACAGAAATGGTAATCACAGAAAAATGTTGTGTTTTAATTGCATAAGGTATGGTTACATGCCAAAAGATAGATTTAAAAGAGTGCCACCTCAAGATCCATGTATACCATCCTAAGCACATATCCAAAATATACTCAGCTATAAAAACACGGACAGTTCCTCAACCATGTTCATAGTAACTTTATTCAAAATATCCAGAATATAGAAACAACCTAGCTACATCTCAAAGGAAGAATGGATACAGAAAGTGATATACATGCATACAATGTAATACTACTCAGCAATTAAGGAAATCATGAAATTTGCAGGCAAAAGTATGGAACTAGAAAAAATCATCCTGAGTGAGGTGCACCAGAAACAGAAAGACAGGCATGGTATACACTCACTAATAAGTGGATTAAAAGGACATCCAGCTACAGACCTAAAGAAGCTAAACACAAAGGAGGACCCTAGGGAGGATGCTTAAATCTCATTCAGAATAGTAAACAAGATAGACATGTGAAGCAGTGGAAGAAAGGAAACAGGATGGGAGCCTACTACAGAGGGCCCTCTGAAAGGTTCCGCCCAACAGAGGATCAAAGCAGATGCTGAAGCTCACAGCCATACTTTGGCAGAGCACAGGGAGTCTCTGTGGAAAAGAGGAGTGGGGAGATTTATGGAGAGGAGAGGAGCCCCACAAGGAAACCAACAAACTAGAAAAATCTGTGCCCAGGGTGTTTTACAGACCAGTGCACCGAGGACAAGGCATAGAAAGGACCTTGACAGGGAAATAAATTTTATAAAAGGAAGATTAAATCAGGGTAATAATGTAAAATATAATTGAATTTATGTGCTCCTCTACTGTTATTCTTTTATCTAACTGAAAATAATGCTAAACAGTTTCATTAATGACCTTGATTTTGAAGTACATAATATTTTAAAACTTTGAGTCTTTCACAGAGACTCCATTTCAAAGGAGATCAGTTCACAGATGTTATAAGCCTGATGTACAATGCTTATTTAAGCTTGTAGAATATGCATCTTTACAGTCTAAAAAGAAAAATAAATAGATGTTGCAGATAAAATATCTAAGAAACTAAACTAGAATTTTATATGACACAAAATAATGTTTAGATAAAGGTTTCCAATAACTTTTAATTTAACTATTTTAAATTCTCTCACATAATAGGTAGATTTCTACAGTCTAGAATTTCTGTCATGTGACCATGGTTCTTTTCTGGTAAAAATATTTTACTATAGTTCCTGCTTCTTCCAAACTTGATGGCAAAGTCATTTATATGAATGCCAGAGTACACTGCAATAAAACATATCCAGGCAAAAGGAGAGATAATGGTATCTGATACATTGAATTAACTCTTAATTGTTAGTGATAAAAAACTGCAAAAGGAATTACATGACTTTAATTTTTTTTACATACAGAACATGTTCCATGCAATATATTTTAAACAGTCTAATTTCAGGTTACCCTTCTTTATAGTCATGAAAATAAATGTCTACATCCCTTTAACTCAGCAAACATTGAAACTTCAGCACTTATTTAATAAAAGGTTATTGTCTATAATCCGTGGGCATCTTCATGTTTGTTTTCTACCTTGAAATAGATTTTAAAACACATTTTGAGGTATTTATTATAGTATTATCATTTAAAAATAACAAGGCAGTTCAGTGTCCAAGTGGGTTACATAGTAATGGAAAGAGGGACTGCCTCTGACATAATCTGATTGTCCTGCTCTTTGATCACCTCCCCCTGAGGGGGAAGCAGTCTTACCAGGCCATGGTAGAGGACAATGCAACCACTTTTGATGAGAACTGATAGACTATGATCAGAAAGGAGAGGAGAACCTCCCATATCAGTGGACTTGGGGAGTGGCATGCATGCAGAAAGGGGAGGGAGGGTGGGATCAGGAGGGGAGGAGGGAGGGGCTTATGGGGGGATACAAAATGAATAAAGTGTAATTAATAAAAATATTAGTTGTTTAGAAAACATAAATCTAATTATTAAAGCTTGCTTTTAATAAAAAAATATTTACTTCTAAATTTTTCAGTTCTCTTACTCAAAAAGATATATTTAAAACAATATTATAAAATTCCAGATATATAAATACATAAGTTAAAATGTGAGCCAATATGAATTTTTGGTTTCATTATTACTTAGCCTAAGAGTAACTTAAATATTTTAAAGATATTCTAATCCAAGGAGGACTAGGGATGTAGCTCAGTAGTAGATTGCTTTCTTACAATGTATCCTGGGTTCAAATCCTAGTACTAAAATAAGTGTTTTGAAATTAAAGTTTCAAAGAATGCTAAAATTGATTTCCAGTGTTTCCAGAGTTCTCATTTCATTGAATGTTTCATATTAACTAATGCTATGAATAGTGGCGTTCCATTTTTCATGAATTTAAACACAATTTTATTTATTTTTATTTCATATTTTATTTTGCCAACGTGTAGATTTTAACAAATTGTTTCTATTATACCCAGAAAAGCCAGAAAATGGTGGCACACCAACTAAAGTTTTAGATTGTTGTTACCCACCATTAGGAACTGGGAATACAATCCTGATTCTTTGGAAGAACAGTCAGTGATCTGCAGAAAAGCCATATCCTAAACGCCATTGAGGATTTTTTTCAGCACCTGTTCATGAAATATGTGCACTATTCTGATGTTTCATTCTCAGGCCTTTTTTTTTTCCTCCTAACCTCACCTATCAGAAAATATTATTTAGTTCTATTACTCAGTATCACTTCGACACTTGCTAGTTTGAGTTAGTAAAATTGGAAAAGGAATAGCTAAGAGACAAAACATTAAGATATATTCATGTCTAATGGAGACCAACAAAAAAGGTTTTGTTCAGGCAAAACAAATAACTACTTAACGATTAGGTTTGCTTAAGGAAGTCCAATAAATTAAAGGGAGAGAATTCTGCCTATGAATTGGTATATATTCAGCAACAGCAGTATTAGGTTATCTTAAAAATTCCTTCCTCAAACAATTATAACATTAGCTATCCAGATACGTATGTTGGCAAAACTAACTCAAAAATCATATGAACAAAAGTAACAGCAAAAGTAGGATCATTAAATTAGCTTGGAGAAACTAAAGAAAAAAAACTTTATTTTTTTCTAGTCTCCAATAAATTCTAACATAATATAAACTATATATATATATATATATATATATATATATATATATATATATATATTTGATAACAT